GCAGTGGGTATCGGTTACGGGTGTCTGGCCCAAAGGGGGAAACAGCCATTGAGGATTTTTTCATCAAGTGGTTTACGGGTATGAGAGTTTCTATGGTGACCCACGTCATTGTTGAAGGGGATTTTGAATTTATATGTGTACGTTAAATACTGGGGTATTATTTTTGTGTACCGGTGTGACTGCTGCATGTAAACTAGTCTGGTTGTCACTGTAAATGTGACTATGTCAGGATTTTATTCAGAGATGCCACAGGGTCTGCTAAAAAAAGACACAGAACTTTTTTGATTGTGGAAACTACCAGTAGCATCGAAGTGCATGACTAAGTGTAGAGAGCGGAGTGATAACAACCAGGGTTCTCTTCTCGTACAGCCGTGTCTGGTTCCACATACATGTACTTTCCACCTTTTGGCTTTTAAGTTGTCCATTCTTTCTAAAATTTTCAATTTTTCCATATTTTGATGACATATGAGATTTTTTTAATCCAAACCGCGCATGATTACGTTGCAGGCATTGATTGACAACTCGTCTGGCAACACACAAGTGCACGACCATGATGTACATGTGTACTTGGTTATCGGCCTGTTATGTACACGTACATGTACAATACTCCTATTCACATAACGTAATCACTGCAACTGGAAAGCAATGACTAACATGACAGTCTTGAATTCAAGGCTGAGTAATAAGTGTGCTCAGCGCGCCTACCACCCGCATATGGTGCGTGGTGCAGTATGCACGAAATCAAGTCACACGCTGTGTGTGTTCAGACAGTCCACTGCGCTGTGCATTACTTGGTGCGCGTATGGGGGCGGTGCTGAAACTCTGGTATAGTTTCAATGATCATGCTGGCATGCTGGCGCAGGCAGCGCATGCCGCATCGCATACAAGCTCGGCAGCCACTGCTGCGCATGTAGTGCGTGACTGTCATTCAACTCAAGATGCATAGAGGTGAAAATAAACGCATTCCTGTTTGTGTGTTCCTTTCCAGCCTTTTCAAAAATAGAATTTTGGGGGGTCTGTTAAAAAAACTGAAAATTCGGATAAAACTGGAAAAGTGGCTTCTCCGTTTCTTAATGAGCTTTGGAAATTTCACATTTCTTGAAATAAACAGATTTTTCTGATCACAATACTCTAACAGGTGTACATACATGTACATGTATCATGAATGGCATCAGATGTCCAACTTGAAAGGAGGCAACCTGAAAACAAAGACACCTGTATCCTGGTCTGGTTGGGGACAGTTCACAGAAACCATGGGTCATAATTTCATTACCAGTGTCAACAGCAACAATGGCACAACGACTAAGTCTTGGTTCAAGGCAATGTAATAAATATGTAATAAATATATATATATTATTTCTGACAAAGCCTGTACATGCTGTATGAACATGTGTGTGTACATGAACCGCAGGACATAACGTTCTGTACAAGTATCGGTGCAATGTTATACATGTATATGTACTAGTACCATGTGCATAGCTGAAGAGCAATATATACATGTAGCACATTTGTAAAATATGTAATGAACTAGATCTTTAAAAAATGATCCTGTACGTGTACATTTTCGGGTATGTACATGTACAAGTGTACTCAAATTGTACATGTTGGGTTTGTCTATGTTTAAGTAAATCTGGCAATTTTAAAGAGTTTGAAGAAAACATAAAAATTATCCCCAAACAACTGGAGCATTCAGGACTGTGAACATACATGTAAAATGTATTTAAAGTACATGCACAATGTCATTTGAATTTGACATTTAGGCCTAAGTGATTTTTATTCATGAGATTTATAAAAACCTGTGGTGCTCCACACTGACAAATGTTATTAGCCAATACCCTGGATGCTGCATCCGTGTGATGAATATTACACATACTGTACATGTACTGGTACAGTTATACATGTACTGGGTGAGGGCCAAGCTTGAGCTATATATAGCTCTGTCTGTACCTGTGCTAGTACATTGTAGGAATGGGTCGATGGATTGCCAGATCAGGTAGGGTCTCCATGAAATGGAATATGCCACGAAGGAGGCTATAAATAGAATGCCATCTATCTCACCTACCCATAGATAGATAGATGGGAGGGGGGGGTTATGATGGGGAAATGAGATAAGGCAAGTATGATACAGGGGAACAGGCAAGTGTTTGATGGGCAAAACAGGGTGGGGAGATAATGACAGGAAGAGGGGGAGTGGGCGGTGGATGAAGTGAGAGAGTGAGACAAAGATTGAGTTAAAACAAAAGAGAGAAACAGTGATGATGTAGCGGAGGTGGAAGGCACTGAAGTGCAAAAAAAAAGGCATGAAGAAGGGTAATTGGATGAGAGAAACAGATGGAGAAAGCCGGTTGATATTGAATTGAAAAAAAAAAAACAATGAGTAACAGAGACAGAGGACAGGAAAAGTAACAGAGAAGACTGAAGAGATGGAGAACAGAAAGATGAAAGCAGATAAACAGAATGGTACATGTACATGTACCCTACAGTGATACCAATAGTATTGTACTTAAGATACAGGCTGATGGACGAAGGAGATAACAGAATAAGATGGAATAGATCTGATACAGATAATAGCCTTGGTAGACAATGTTGGATTGAAATGGAGAAAGGCAAAATGTGAAACGAGGATATGAACAACAGAGGAAAGGAAGCAAGATACATGTACATGTATGTATTGGTGCCCGCATGTGTACTACGATGTGCCAAGAAAAACAAGGCAAAAAAGATGATGGCTGCAAAGTTGAACTAAATTTTCAATCCAAATATCGCGTTTAATACACGCATTTCTCATGGATAAAGGATTCTCAGGATCTTATTACGTACATATAGGTACTTTCATTAACAGAAAAGGTGAAGAATGGTTGCATCCTTGGAGGGTAAAATACATGCAGAAGGAGAAATGGAAAATAAGAGACAATTGGGCAGAGTACAAGACGGTAAAATTACAAGGAAATGCAATGATGAGCAGTGACTGGAACAAAGACAAAGACAGTGAAACAGATTTTGCTGTCCCCTGGGGGCTGGACTGGAGAGAGAGAGAAAAAGGAGAGGCTTGCAAGGGAGAGAATGAGATAAATGAAAAGATTAAGCAGACATGGGTAAAGGAAAGTGAAGAGATGAGAAGATTTAAAGATGGGTCCTGGAGGAGATGGAGATGCTGACGTACAATTGGGTTTTCCCTCGGGGTGCTGATGAGGATGAGGAAGCAAGGAAGAACAAAGTCAGAGTGCAGGCAGTGAACACGAGCATTGTTGATCATGCTGACAGGGCCTGAAATAATTGGGACACACAGAGTTTCACAGCATACATGCACATGTACCGGTTTGTATTGGTACGTGTACGGTGTACGCGCATGCGTAAGGTACCGTATTTGTACATGTAGTATTTGTACATGTACACTGTACAAGTTACCGGTACTACACGTGGCTTCAATCAATTTCCTCTCAAATAAACCAATTTTGGCCATATTTGGTAGTCAGAACAATCTGAAGGTGAACTACAGCATTTCTTAACTTGCTCTGACTTTTGATACCGTATTTGTTTTGACTTTGTTCTGCTTTTTTTTTTAGTGTGAGTGGCAATATTGGCCTAAAAAGAAGAATGAGGAAGTCACCCAAATTAGTGAGGTGGGTCACTTCAACTTCACATTTGACTAGGCATGGGATATCCTGGTGGTAAGTGGTGCCAGCGGTGACAATGGAGGATGTACGATACTCGACGCATACATGTAGCGGTATGTGACGATGATGACTGTTGTCCTGTTAGACATATGTGCAATATGAAATTTAATTTTAAAGCTTAGAAAGATTTGTTGATGATGCGATGTACATGTACGAGTACCACACTACCAGAACCAGAACATGTACATGCAGACGTCCCCATATTTGGAAGTGCTAGAGACCTGTGTACTAAAGAATGTCGATATACATGTACAGCATACATGTAAAACCGATGAGACAATGTGCAGTTATTTTAAATAAAATTCAAACTACTGGTACTGTGCCAGTACCGTATGTACATGTACATACATGTACTAGTACATTAACATTCCCACTCACAGCATACTTGAATATACGGGGTAATACATTTAAATTTTATTAGCAAGACCTTCCAACCCCTTTCCCCTTGTGGGGATTGGGCTATTTACAGGTAAATGGCATCCCAAAAGGGGAAGAGGGGAGAGCCAACAGTGAGAATATATTAAAGAAGATAATTGGTGGATTTGCCTGCTGTTGCGTCTATGAATATTGCTCATGCATGTGTTGGGTGCTGCGTTCTCATCGAATATTCCAACTGCGGCTGAGTGTGCTCTTCAGCACCTGATCCTTCTGGTACCAGGTACAATACACCTGTAAGGTTCTCTTCAAATTTCGATGATTTTTTTCCAGTTGATATAAATCCCAACAGAAATGAAACCTTAATAACTTACTTACAACAGTCTGAACCAGAAATTGATGATTGTGAACTACAAAATATCTTGGATCTTTTGGTTTCAGATGCGCTTTCACTGAAACCTGAATAACTTACTAACAGTCTGAACCAGAAATTGATAGATTGTGAACTACAAAATATCTTGGATCTTTTGGTTTCAGATGCGCTTTCATTGAAAAGGGAATTTCACCCTCTAGATTACAGGGTTTTTTTGTTACATGTATATAACACAAATGGAAATTCAACATGTGTACATCCACAAAAAGACACAACATACACGTGAAAGGAAAACACTGTACAAGAAGGGAATTCTAATAAATTTTGTGAAAATTTACACATGCAAAATTACATGACAGTCAAACCAACAATCACTGCACTACAAATGTAAGCTACTTGTACTAGTAGCAAATGAAATAAAATTACACTGAATGTACAGGTACACAATATTGACCAATCAGAAGGCAAGACTGCAACAATTCCACCAATTACCATACTTCATTTATTGTGACAGAAATAGACCAAGTCAAATAAAGGCAGTAAAGGAAGGGGACCAATGAAGTGGCCAGACTCACCTTGACCTTTGGCAGTGACATCCCCTCTGACTGTTGCATTTGGAACGGGCATGGAGACAGCATAGGGAGGGATGGTTAGGTCTCGGATTGGCCCCAGATTGCACTCAGATGAGAAACTTTTATAACACCCTGTGTGAGCCTGTCGAGGAAAAAAAAACACCAAAAATTACACGGCTACTTTTACAAAAAGCTGTAGAACACAAGTGATTATTTACATGTAGCACAAAAAGAGTACACATGTACTGCTACACGCATACAGTAGCACGATTGATCAATGCCAGTCAGGTTGTAGTCCAAAGCCTGAAAATATGGCCAGAGAAGCTCCAACATGCACATGAAATTAGCCCATCACCCTACACGACAAAGTCTGATATCATGCATTTGCTCAAGAACTGACATCCCCAACATTAGAAAGGAAACAAGTTCAGAAACAATAATTGCTACATGTAGTTTGCAAAATAAAAAACAAAAACAAAGTAGTATTACGATCAAATTTTTGAGCACGAACAAACATGCAGGGTACATGTAGTTCCCTCCAGCATGTTATTAGAAATGTGTATGTGGCTACCAAGATGCCAGTACATGTACATTGTATTCTGTATCTCACATACCGGGACATGTACATCAAGTCTGTAATTCCATTTACTGAAGTAGAAAAATTATCCAAATACATTGTACATGTACATAGGACAAAATACCGCTAGGAACACAGTCTGAGACCACATACATGTAAGGGTTAAAAAAAAAAACACATGGCTTACAAGACCAAATCCTCTAATGAGATTACGATTCCCAATCCTGAGTACAGAGGCGCACAGGGTGTCCTCATTAATCAGCCAACTGAGTGACAGAAGGGGGATTTTGAACACCGGTCACCATGGTAACCATGCAAATTTAGGCTGTGTCAGATGGTCGTTGACAGGGGGACTCTGTTCTCTGCAATGCATTAGGAGGACAATTTGGATTTGAGGCCAGAAAGAGAAATTTTAAAATGTGCATCCTTGGTGAAAGGGAAAAAATAAAACATTTGCTCAACCACATCCCCCTCAAAAAGAGCTGCTTATTACTACTGTAGTACATGTACATAATTTATATAAAAAAGATGCATACTACTGGTACATGTACATGCAAACGTTTAAAATTTTATTTTAAAGATTTATCAAATGTTAAAGAGAAGCGTACAGCACAGTTGACTAATGTACATGTGCTTCATTCTGAATGGACCGTTGGCGAGTTGGTATTTCGAAGTGAATGAAATGACTGAATGATAACTAAAATGATAACTAAAATTGGATAATAAAGAGTTGACAAATGAACTGATAATTGACATGCATGCATGTAATAATTCCCACATTTGATTAAACTAATACACTCACAGTTGTCCAGCACCACTCGCATTTCATGCTTGCCAAACACTCTGAAGTGACGCAAGATTTCTTGCACAAAGCGCATCGACTGTTCGCTGGCAAATTTCCTTCCCTCCAGTGATGAGTAAATTTCATTTTTTCCTGAAAAAAAAAATTACAGAGAAAATGTAGCCCTCTCCAATAAACAACCTTTATGTTACCTGTATGCATAGACTTGAAAAATACACACAACTAAAGTGCGCAACATCTACTGTACATGTACACGTAGAGAGGGAATTATTTATCAGTTTATGAAAGGCCAAGAACAAAATACAATGTATGAGGGGCAAATTGTACATGAATCCTTTGCTGAATGTACATGTACCAGTACTCAGCTTGGTAATGACTTGGAGGCAGTACTGTACCTGTACAGTCTCAGACAACAGATATAGTTTATGCAATGAAATGAACCGAACATTTTCAGGGTACTGGTAATTGTGATTCAGGTCAGGTAATTTGTTTCTGGTTTGTGGGTTTGACACCCAACCCTGAGCACTGTACTCAGTCTCTGTGGACGATGACTGACTAAGCTGATTTAAAGAAAAATGTTTTAATAGCATGAGAACTTCTTGTTTGACCTTACATGTACATTGTACATTTATGAAATGTACATGTATTTATTTTATGAAATTAATAAATAAGTTATGATGTACAGGGTAAGTGTGTACACATGTAATTCTGGATAATTAAGACTGTATCACAAAGAGGACAAGTACATAATATTTGACGACATTTGATTAAAACACTACTAAAGTGGATCAACCTGTGCGAAATGTCACAATCATTTTGCCTCAGAGTTTTTGGCCAAACCTGCTGGAGAGTAACAATCGTTTCGATTCCCTCGAGTGACTTCTGATGCACACAAAAAAAAAAACCTGTCTGAATGAAAATCAGTCGGCACGGCCAAGTGCTCTTGGCTCTCAGGGATGGGCAGATTCTTGTCAGCAAACGTTTTGTGCTAAACTAACCTCAAACACAGAAATTATTATCCTTTTTCTCTGAGCAAACACAGCGCGACACACTGTCGCACAAGGAAAGCAAGCAAATTGTACATGTACGTGTTGTCTTGAGGTTGGTGGATCCCACATTTACCACTCATGCTTCATGCTAAATCGTTTCTCCCATGAGTAAGTGACAAATTACATCCATCTCAGCACGTGTCTGGCAAAAATAAATAAATCTGCTTTCAAAAATAAACAGGTTCTTCGCAATTTTAAGGAGAGACAGAGTTCGCGGGTGATTGACAGACTGGGCTAATCGTTAGAACCTGCTTCTTTTATGCAATATTAAATGTTCTATTTAAAAGTCAAACATTGTTTGAGTACATGTGGTTGGCCGAAACATCAGGCGCAGTCTTTTTGATTTATTTGATTGGCGATGGATGGGCTCACCCTGCATCTTCATTTTACTGTTAATAAACGAGGATTTTCATTATGCGTATCGCTCACAAATTATCTCCAGACTGCAGACACATGGCTCTTGCGGTGGCATGAGCTCCATGACCCAATTAGTGCATTTGGGCAAGGAAGCTTTGCTACAGAGGGAAATTGGTGGAGCCAAGCACATGATTGCTAAGGACTAAAATATCTTACGAAAATAGATTTCCCGGTAAAAGCCATGTACATGTAATGCATACCGATTGTGAGCGGTTCTAGTGGACTGATTCTTACCAATTACCAGTAACATTGTAAATTTATAAGCACAATTTCTACTAAGCAGCATTGTGACATTTCATTATGTCTTTTTTATTACTTCCAAGGTTCTTTTCCAAATTTGGCTTTTATCTGTATCTCAAGCTTTATTTCTGATACTGACACCACACCTACCGGTACATACATGTAGGCCTAAAATATTCATGAAAAAAAGTACATGAAAATACTTCCATCATTGCACTGATAGGCTATAGTTCAAGGTTTCTCTAGCAGAACTTGATTATTATTATAGGCTATTATTGATAGGCTATAGTTCAAGGTTTCCCTAGCAGAACTTGATTATTATTACATATATTGAGCTAAAAGCTTCAAAGTTGTGGTGGAAATCAGGGGGTGAAAGACATGGACACGAAGCTTAGATAAAAAAAAAGTCCAACATGCGGGGAATAACTTCTTCTACAAACAAACAGAAATTATTTACGGAAACAATCCAAGGCAGAGTTTAAAAGGGCCAAGATCATTGTGAATATTGTATTATTCCAAAAGTTCCAAAAGCCTTCAAGTTGCTTTTCATTTTTGATGACCTTTGCTTTAGTTTAGCAAGGGTAATTTGAACACCAGTGCACAATGTTTTAAATAGGCACATACATGGGCATGTTATAACAGGATCTTATCTGCATGTCACAACCACATGTGTACAGTGGTCTAGAATGGCATGATAGATTTTTACCTAGAAAATTATGAATGTGATGCCACGAACAGATACTTACTAAATTTCTGTTTGCATCATAATCGGCACACTTTACACAGTTACTAACGACGAAGTCAAGACAAGTTGCATGGGCATAATATTCACATACTGTTGAAGAAGAGAAGACAGAACAACCAAGTTACTCAAAAGGGATCATGGTATTTGAGTTACTGGACTTCGGTTGGGAAATAGGAACCTGGGAGTTACGAGGATAATGGCAGTGGGAAAAGACTGAGTTGGTAAAACAAAAAATACAACTCATCAGCATTTGAGTTTGGAGTTACATGTACGTGTATTCAGAAAGCTCCAGTTCCTTTCAAAAGTGGGATTGTAAGGACAAATTGTGAATGTGATAATGACACCAGAGTGCTAAGTTGTCTGATCCTGAAAGAAAAAAAAACAAACAAACAAAACATTAACATAACACCCCGAGTGAGAAATTAATATTTGTTACTTACATTCACAGCGAAAGGCTAACGAGTCATCCAGTTTGCGCCGACAAACATTACAGAATTTCTTGCGATAATGCCCTGGCTCACTCCACGTGTGTGCAACAGGATTCTGGGAAATGACAAAAAGAACAAGAGAGGATGTGTAATAGGAAACTGCAGAAATGAACATTGGTGATTCCGATTTCATGATTTACAGTGTTGTAGTTGAGTACTGTTCAAGTACCGGTACCAAGTTCTCTGACAGGTATTTAACTACACACACAGTAGTTATGAGGGAACAAAGCGGAAGTAAATGAGCATTTGATGGTACCGGTGCCCCGTACATGCAGAAAGGTAAGACTGTAAATTATAGTACCAGCAACGCTATGCTTTCAGACCATCAGTGTGCAATAAAAAATAAGTTTCTATTGACAAAAGCACTTCAAAAGTACTCAGTCAAGAAATTTTCTCCTTATTTCTTAAATTTTACAAAACTGGGAGTAAATGTATCTGAAGTCTTAAATCTACCGGTATTTTGTAATCTAACATGTACATGTACCTTTGTGTATGTACCACATTTGGCAGAGAACCTTTGTACTTGAAATGTTCATTCACAACGTTGATGATTTGCAGATAAATCAACACAAAGACAGGAGAATCAGAACAGAACAAACAGAAAAGATCAAAGCTTGCTCGTTTGCCACTTGCTTTTGGATTGACAATGTACATGTAGTGTACACTGTACCAGTGCATTCAAGCATGAAGCTTTTTCTTGAGTGAAGAGAGCACTGGTAGCAGTACCGGTACAATGTACATCTGCTCATGAGACATTTGGGTGGAAAACTTGTTAGTGGGGGGGGGTGGAAGGAGGTGGTGATTGAACCTTAAGACCAACAAACTGTTAAATAAACATCTGTGTCCATTTACATTAAAGATGTACATGCTGTAAAGATTGAACAATGATTAATGCATACCAATACATATCGCGGTCCCACAAAATCACTTTCTAGCAATGTTAAATTTACAATAAAAGTGGGCATTGAAAATGAATACATGTACATAAACATGGACAACATTTTTGCTATAAATTGACATGTACAGGTACATACATACCGTACATGCACATAAATTGACAGACAAATCACTTCATTTACATTCAAAATCTATATTAAATGGATGGTTACTGTACATATCCACGCATCATGTGCAATAACTAGGTAAATACGTCACTGTATACACACAAGTGTGTCTTGTAAAGTTTACTTGAAAAGTTCTCAGACTGTTCGAGAGCACAATCCTCAACAAAGGAGTGAAAAGATGAGAATGTACTGGTCCATGTACAGAGGGGAAAAAAGGGACAAATAGACTGATATTATCCTCCTATTGGTTAGTACTCCTTTATGAACTGTGTACTGCTCTCATTTCTCCCCTCCATAACTCCATGTAATAATAATTCTTCACACCCACTTCACCCACACAACCTACTTGTAGATGGAATCCTCTATCCCTTGATGCAATCTGGGCCAGCTTGATGAATGCACCGTACTTGTACTAACCACTGCGAGGCCCCAGCCAGATGCAAGTCAGGACTTGCAGGCTGCAGACAGTACGGTATGGAGGCCCGTACGACTGTGGCCAGAGGTGAGATTGGCCAATGAGGAGAAATCCGCCAAACATCCAACAGAGTTATTGTTAAATGGTAGACATTAAAATCTTGTGACTTTTAGGTACTTTAAATGGTTGTCAACCTTGTAAACACTGCATTTGGATTTTTTTGTGCAGTGCACAGACGGAAAGTTGAAAATTTTGACTTTCATCTCCAAAAATAGGAAATGTGGAGTCTACATGTACTCCTGAAATTCTGAAAAATCCAGACATCAAACTCCTGCTGTGCACAGCATGGTACAATAAAGTAAATGTGCAGCGGTAAACATGTACATGTAGGTGTATGTGTACAGTGTGTATGCCTTGAAATTCTCTGGCAATGTCTGAACATGGTCTAAAAATGACCACTGTATGTACATGTACCTGTTGCTTCAGCAGCGTATTCTGCTTGCTACCAGAAATCTAGTGGAATTAAGTCTGCCATTTCCTGATAGTACATGTACCGGTACCAGTATACAGGTATACTGTACATCGATGCTCCTAAACAAAATACTTTTCGTATACTTTTACATGTATCGGTACATGTAGTATACTGCTCCCGCTACATGTCAGTGACAAACATGTACATGTATCACTGATACAGACAGACAAACAGGATCTGGATGCAAACGTTTGCTCCTTGTCATTTCTGTGTGCAACACAGCCCCAGTACCCATTAATTCTGACCCCATTCTAAAACAAGGCAGCCTCCCCCTTCTCAGTGCTTCCCATTTCGCCAAGTACCTCTTAGTGTCCCCTCCATGTCGAAGCCCCCTTCGGAAAACAATTTGTCACCCACAACCATGTTATGGCCCCCATTGAGTGTACATACCTGTGCATCATCCAGACACCGAGGGATACATAAGTGTGCACGCACTGCTGGGCTTTAGGCTCGAGAGGGCCGCCGGGAGTGGGTTTAATGCAATAGCTCAGACGTGAAGCCATGTATTGGTTAGCTAAGGGGACACATCTGATGGGGCTACATACCAGTACACCGATAACTCATTCAGGGTACATGTACATGTATATGTTCTGGTACCTGTGCATACACACCTGTTACATCAAGGCAGACATGATACACGCATTTTAGAGGTTTTATATCCATTTAGGGTGCAGCATGTTGGAACAATAAGTGACCATTTCTAGTTAAGCCCAGGTATCTAAATCGCATGTCTACAGAGCCAGTCTGCTGGTAAGGTCTTTCATGCACAGTACATGGGTTACAAGCAAATACCGTTATACACATCACGTACACATGTACATGTACCAGTTAGTATATATGCACTTGAAGCTGCAATGACAACAGTCGTCGTTGCAGCTGTGGCAGCCCTCTTCAGATACGGCTCAAATTTTGACAAGTTGTGAGGACGTTAAAATGTCCTCAAAATGTTTTTAGTTGCAACACACGCATGGTTCCCAGAAACATGTCTCAAACAGGTACAGTACATGTAGAACTGGTTAAATAGTGCAGTGTATTGAAGCTTGCATCAGTGCAATAAGAAACATGTACACTACACTGACTCATTTGTAGATTTAGGGTGTGGAAATGGGCATTTGGGGTTATCAAGAAAAGCATGTACTGTGCATGCACTACATGTACATAGGTATGATTGTGTACCCCCATGTAAGATTTACAGTTGTAGACATGTCATTTTTCCATCCTGTCCTGCTTTTACATTCTCACACTGCACACCAAAAACCAACTGCCAGGCACACTAAGAATTTGGTTAGCCTTGGCTCTTTGTTTCCATGGCAACATATGCCTAGGGGCCCAGATACAAGTACTAGAACATGTAGAGCGAGTGAACTGCTAGGCCCACATAAGGGGTATTTTAGAATTAATTTTGGATTTTTGCCCTGCCCGATGTGTATTTGAACAATGTATAGGCCTACTCAGTGTATGCCTCCGAAGGCTTGGCTGGCTGGTTCTCATTTGAACCAGCCGACACCGGCAAGCTTGGTGGTCGAGTGGTTAAGACGTCCACACTAGTAAGCAGGAGGTCGTAGGTTCGAGTCCCACCCCAGTAAGCTTGTGGTTTTTCCCAAGCCTCCAGGGGCACACAAAATTAATTTACATCTCCCCAGTGCAAATCCATCCTTGAAATATTTTGGTATTTGTATAACGAAGAGCATGTAAACTGCACTACTGTACAATACCAATGCACGTACCTGTCCGTATACATGTACATGTACCGGTAGGTACATACACATACATGCACCTGTACTGTACAAGTGTTTTGACATTTTCCATTTTTTTCAACACCTCTGATCTTAACCTCATCCCTGGTCAAGGATGTTGTCTCTGGCTCTCTCAAACTTTGTAGAAAAAGACAACACCTACATAAAACATAAAATTACACTTCAGGATGTTAAGATATTAAACTTCTGGTCAGACCTGCTGGAACTCATTCATTTTGGAAAAATCTGACCACCTGATTTTATAAGTGCCGATGATGATAGACAAGCAGACATACATGTACATGTACTCAAACATCTCCCTGCACAATGCTGGATGAACATGCACCAGGTACCTGTGTGTACACAGTACTTGCTTGGCATATACCAGTACATGTACATGTATAATACCCATGATGTACAGGGTATGTTTATGCACCTCAAAACACCCACACAGTAATCAATGATGCAGCTCACATCAACATCTTGTGTATGATGAGCATGAGGGCAGGGGAGAGAGAGGGAGACAGCCAAATGGAAATTTATTCTTGTTTGTTGGCTCAGAAGAGGATGGAGATCTCGGAGCCAGGACACATTACATGTACATGTACTGTAGTTTCTAATGTTATCAGTTGGAACAATGCACAGGAGCAATAAACAATGAGGTCTGTACATGTACCGATAGTAGGCTTCAGTACATGTACATGTATGTGCACATGGTATCATTTCATTCTCAAAAATGCTGTTAAACAGAGGAAATGTGAGGGTCTACTGTCATAGTTAAAAGAACAGTAAAGTATAAAACAGATGTCTCTACATTTTGTAATTAAATGGGCAGAGGCTACTGGTGCAGTAGTTTACATGTATTTCTGACATTGGTACCGGTACATACATGAACATGTTTGTCATGTTTGTATTTGACGGTACAGACCACATATAATTTACGAAACTGTTGAAAAGTATTGGTTTACAGATGCATACATACGAGCAGTTAGGGGACTAAACTCCTATGGAATAATTCTTGCAGGCAAGCTGTCATTTCGAAGACAGCAATGGAAGAAGGCCTTTTTATTTATGTAATTTATTTTAAGCTGATACACTCTATGTAAACTCCCTCCGAAGTTCTGTTCGCTTGATCCATTACCTACTCATACTCGTATCATTCTGAAAGCGTGGTGAAAACATATGAGCCCAATTATTGGTTACTCTTCATTGTTGACAGGGTTTTTCTGGCTGATTGTAAGCATGCTTTGAAGAATCTCAAACTGCTTCAGAATGAGTTACATGTAAGTAGTTATAGACCTGTATCTAATCTCTCATTCCTGTCAAAGATTATTCAAAATTGTGTACAGATTCAAATCAATTCATATCTTTGCAAATCTTCTCTCTATGCTACCGGAAGAAAACAAAAGTACAAAATGATCTGTTGGTTGCCCTTGGTCAGTGGCATCAAGTTGTACATGTACAGGTATTTGTTTTACTGGATCTCTAGGCAGCTTTTGACTCGATTGATCATGACATTTTGTAACATAGACTGTGTTCTAGGTTCAGAATTCAGGGCACTGCTCTGAGTTGGTTTCAATCATTTCTGCAGGATTGAACACAGCTAGAGTGTACATGTTCATAACATTGGATCAAACAGGTAAAAATTTCAGCCACTGAAATGTGGTATTCCCCTGGGGTCAGTCCATGGACCTGTTCTTTTCAGTTTATGTACAGAACCTCTGGAGATACGGGTACATGTATTTTAGATCGCTATGGTCTGCAGTACATGATGTACATGTACATTGTACATGTAATGTATGTTGATGACATGTCACATGCTGACATGGCTGAGGTACCGAGCACTCTGATATTTTGGGGCAATGTTTGGGGAATTTCGTGTATGGATGGGAGACAATTTGCTTGTACTGAATGATAGAAAAACTGAGGTACTGGTAATCATCAAGGTTTGTTTGAGATACATGTACTGTTAGCCCTGGTACCCCGTGCATTGTGCATATCACTGATGTTACATGTAATGAACATGTACCCCCTTCTAACGTGGTCTGAGACGTTGGCATTATTTTAGATTTTGAAGGCACAATGTGTGCTCAGGTCTTTAATTTGTTCAAAAATGCCTCGTTGGCACTCTCGAAAATCGGAATAATTCGCCCCCTTTTAGATCCTAAAGCTACCACAAAGCTGGTGCATACTTTCATTACATGTTCATTCTGGACTGACTATTACATGTACAACAATCTTTTGTATGTATCCCTGATAAAGAAATTCAGAAATTGCAAGCAATACAGAATTCAGCTGCTCGTTTGGTCACCAGATCCAATAAGTACATGTATGATATACATGTATCACCCTGGTACTGAAGGAGCTACACTGGCTTCCAGTCAAACATAGAATTGAATATACTGGTAAGAACATGCACATGTATAAGATTTTACATCGTACATGTACGGCTCCCAATTATTTAGAAGAGCTAGTTCGTGTTCACGATTTCTGTGCCGTTGTCTTCGCTGAAATGCCGAGGGTAATCTGACCCTGTAACACTCTACTTCGGGCAATAAGTACAGTGTATTATAATGACAGGGCATTTCAGACCAGTGCTCAAAGGCTTGGGAATAATCTTCCAAGTGCTGATTGTAAGGGCCGCTGCTTCTTACAATGTTTTTGAATCGTCTCTTAAAACTTATCATTTTAGTAAAGTTTACAGTTGAAGTACCCCATCTTGTACACTTGTTTTTTTAATTCTTGAAATATTTTCAATATCTTAGAGTGCACATGTGTCTTTTCAGTGACGTGTATACATCGAGTTGATATACCGGTACCCTGTATTACTTTTATGTAGGCCTACCCACTTCATTCCATCTTATATCAATACATGTAAAGTAGTTGAAACTACGTAAGCTTATGCAGTTTTCACCTCAGTTACATGTAGTCTTTAAGTACTACCAAAATTTTTACTATGTATTTCTTTTTGTCTAATTCTTGCAATGCTTTTGAATGTTTCTTTCTTAAGTACATGTACATGTAACTGTGTTTCTAGTCTAAATACAGTGTGATTTTTTCTTCTTTATTTAATGCTCAACAATTTTGATGTATTTATTTGATTGCACAGTGCGTGAGATATGGTAGGTTTCTATGGAAGGCGGTTTAAAAGTACATGTATTATTTTTTCCAACACTGTGTCTAAACATACATTTTTGGAAATTGCCATAGAGGGATCCCAATACGACGCTTTGAGTGTCGATCTGCGCACTTCCGCATTTGAAAACGAGGCTGTATGTGTCAGCTTCAATTCTTAATACGATCAGACGATTGAAAGTAAGGAATCAAGACACAAAATGCATAAAGGTATGTTAAATTCAGACTTTTCAGGCAGCAAATTTTTGTGGAAGAGTCTTTCAGGATGACTCGACATGTAAATCAAAAGAATAAATGATGGCAATTTACTGCGAATTAACGTACCTGCAATAGCCCTGTATCTTGTGCTGTGGGCGTGGTTTAAACTGAAGTGGCGTCACACTTACAAACCGGATACTCCATGTACATGTACTGTGTGGACTCCATGGGCGCGCGTGAAGAAGTTCAACACAGAGAGCCTCGGTTTCGATGCAGATATGGACAGACGGCGCTAATGTGAAATCCCTCTATTAGTTCTTTTTTGTGTTTAATTGGGCAAAGCATGTGCAAATGTTGCCATGATGCACGTGCATGTCAGTTCAGGACTCAACATAATCACACACATGTACATATAGCTGTAATTGGCTGAATGAGAGGGTGGAATGCTGAGCTTGGGTACAACTCGAAACATGAGTCTGTAACTTTTGATTTGAAATTGAAATCGTAGATCATTTTTTAATATACAGCTTCAATGAGCTCAAACTTCATAAGGTTAGCTGTCAAGTACATGTATCTTGGTTTTCAGCACTTTTATTGCCTTACATGTAAATGAACAGGATACAAATGATGGACTACACTTTTAAATGCATGTTCGTATTTTCAATCCAAACTAATAACTAAACAATTAAAACAAGGAACATGAAGTACCGGTACAGACATGTACAGTACATAAAAGCCAATTAAATTATGCACTTTAAGCATGTACATGTAATTTGCATTTATCGGTATTATGTAAAGGTACATTTACAAGTACTGGTACGTGACATGTGCATGTACATACACTAGCATGCATGTATACATACATGTACGTCTGCTACATGTATGCATGTTCCTAAATTAATGGACAAGCAGACAAGCAGAGAGGAACAGAAGCAATATCTGAGGCAGGTCAGCATGACCAGGCAGGCAAACAAGCAGGAAGTTGAGCAGGCATGCATGCAGGCTGGCAGGTCAGGGAAGAAAGGGGCAGACAGGCAAAGATGTTCATGTACTATGCACATTTTGTACATGTACTCGCGCAAGAAGGCAGGCAAGCAAGTACATGTACCCTGTATGTACATGTACATGTACGTGTACAGTAGGCGTGCAGTCAGACACAGTCATGGGCAAGCACAGGCCATGCATAGTCAGGCAGGCATGCAGGAAGGCAGCTTACATACATTTGTATGTACTAGGGACAGGGCAATGGGGGAGGGAGATGTATGTATGGGCAGGTACCGGTACATGTACAGTACTGGTACATACATGTATACATGTACATGTAGATGTAGTAAGCTGGTGAGTACATGGAGAGACAGACAAACAATAAAGCAGGCAAGGATGACAGTCAGGCAAGCACTGACCATGGAGTCAGTCAGGCAGGCAAACAAAAAGGCATACATGTACATGTACATACAGTACATGTGCAAGTAATTGAATAATAAGGCATGTGGGCGTGTGTGGGCCTATATGGGTGCACGGGCTGAAATTAAGTGAAAGGCTCATGGCCAGACAGGATGGCAAGGATAATGCTGAGGACAGGTAGAGTGCCATTCATGTGCATGTATGATACCGTACACTTACATGTACCGCTAGGGGTAGGCATCAGCAGGAGAACATGTGCAAAACAGACACATGCAGTTGTAGATATGTAAACAAACTAACACAAAAGACAAACAGACAAACTGTCATACACTTACTTCCGGAGTAATATTCTTTGAGGGAATAAACACCTGTTTGCAATACAATCATATTATGTACATGAATGTGAAAACAAAATGTTCAAATTATTCAACTGCAATGTACTGGTATGGAGTATAAATCCAAAAGGTCAATGTAAAATAGCTGTATGAGGTTGACAAATCTCAGGCTTCCACATTTAACAGAGGAGAATCTAAGATCCAAAAGTTGGTCAGGGAAATATTTTACTGGTTGGGAACTCCTGTAAGAACATCAAATTGGTACATGCATGTACAGCAGTTATGCACCGACAAAATGTCACTAGCATTCATACCGTGAAATGGAGGTGTGTCAACAAGTTTCACAACCTTAGGCAATGCAGGCTAATGTTGCCTCGAATGTCATCAAACTATAGCGGTACATTCTGCACAAATTATACACATCTGGGAAGCTACTGAGGTACCTCTCATTTGCAAAACCCACTGTGATGACCATCAGGCAAGGAATTTGTTTCCTTGAAAGGAGCACGCCACTTCTGTATTAAGCTTTTGTAAAGAGCTACTTTTAAAACTCGGAATAGACATAACCTCTGTGAAATTCCAGGGCAGGGTTGTGAGTACATACATAGACAAGTGTGCATTCATCTGTAATGATAAATATGCTTCTATGTGAATGCTTCAGACAAGACCTGAACCTGCAAGTACTTGTACACCCCCCTCAAACAAAACCTACACATGGCCTTCAGCTGGGCTTAAATCAATTAGACATTACACTAATCCAGCGTGGGTGGCACGATGCAGCTGAAAGGATTCCACATGTACGTGTACGTCAAGGGCCGCGCGAAGAGAAAGAAGACGGTGTGGAATTAATTCCTGTGATAATCAATGGCAATGAATTAATGGATGAGACGCCAGCCAAAAAGAATTCTAAAAAAGAAAAGAAAGGTGAATGGGTACACATCACAGGGATGAAGGGGTACCGATGACAATCACAGAGGACGTGGGTGGAAAATGGGACTGGGTGAAAGAAAGGATGAAGAAAACGTGTCCATAGGAGAATTTGATGGTGGGAAGGTTGACAGATGAAGGGAACCCGTACCTACTTAGCAACGGGCGTGGGTTGGATGTGAGGCCATCAAAAGCAACCCTACCTCCGCAGCCAATTAAAATGGATTTTCCTTGAGCTTTGCTTCAACAAGGATGGCAACCAATGTCCTGACTACATGTACGTGTACATGTAATACTAGAGGAAGCAAGTACATGTACATGTAGGTGTGATAGGGTGACTGAATTGTGCATTCTGAGTGTCTGTGGGTAGTATCACTCTTAGTGGAAGAATGCCAAAAGCTTTAAGGCCTATGCACATATACATGTATGTGTAGGTGGCACACAGGATATTGAATACAAAAGCCCTTTTCACACAACGACAAAAAACTTGCAAGGTTTGAGAAATTTTCGCATGCTTGAAAAATCATACAAAAGTGCCACAGAGTGAAAGGTCGCCAATGCTTGAGAGTGACAAGCATTCCTGGTGAATCCTTGACATATTTTGGAGGAGGTCCGGACCTACGACAGCAACCCAAGAGAAACGGTCGTGTGAATGGACGCACTGTTTATTGTACAACGTCCCCTACGATAACCTACACAGTGTGCATGCGTAGTGACCTGCATCCCCACACAGCGCGCAGGCGCCCTTTAACTTCGTTTCAGGTACATGTATGTCCAGCGATCGTGGCACTGCTCGCCAGTGCAATCGGGAATACCTCCGGTGACTTCCCGCCACATGTGGCTATTGTGGACCATGCCGTCTATTGTCGCCTTAATTGCGGCATTTCTATGGCAGTTATAAGGCTGAGAGTCTCATCATACTCCCAGCCCTTCTTGGAACTTTTCTCCTTCTTGGTACTCCCCAAAACATCAGTTTCGAGAGAACGTTTTTTTCGTCTGCAAGTTGGACTCTGCCGATGTAGCGTCAGCCAGTTTTTATCGATGCCCTGCAATCTTTGACCTCACGTTGCGCTGGTACTAGTGGTATTTACGCTCAATAAGTGTGGAGTTCACCGACAACCCGAGGAATAAGCGTTCGCGTCTCAAGGAATGCTTGCAAAATGTTACACGGTGCTGTGTGAAAGGACATGATCACGGTTTGTAAAGTAAACAATCCCCACTCCGAAATTGTGTCTTAAGCCTTGTGAGTTTTTTGGTCGTGTGAAAAGGGCTTTAGGCTGTCTGTGGGTACACACTGAACAGAATCAGCGGGTAGTAATGAGAACCGCGGTAATAAAAGAATGCAAAAAGTACAGTAGGTGACAGTAGGTACAGGTGGCACACTGGATGTTGTACGTGTACATACTTGCACATTTATTGCAGGTGTTGATGGGTACACCTGAAAGAGATACATGTGTATTTACATGTACATGTATGTAATAAGTGGGTGGCAATGGGCACAGTACAAGTACATGTAGATGTGGTTAAGCATCACTCACCTGTACTCGGTCAGCAGCAACTGTGGTACACGGTGTTATAATGTTGTCCAAACAACGCTCATGAGTCACAAAGTTACACACTGCGTATAATAAAACAAGATTGTCAGGCTAATTAGTTTGAGTAAATATTACATGTACAATGTACAGGTACATCTTTGAATAATGAAATTGATTTTTGCGATGGTTTCACTGGTTTGGAACACAACTGAAATGTGCAGCTTAAAATTTAACTTATTCTACAAAAGGAATGAAAATCAACAAAGTCCCATTTTACATGTATAAATGTACATACATGTACATGCACATTATGTAGGTCAGTTCTGGAAGCTCTGCAAAGTGTGGCTGCATCCAAAAGGTTTCGCTGTAGCATGTGCGATGATGGAAGCCACTGGTGAGTGGCTGCAGCCAGTTGCCATACATACATGTACATGCATGCATTAATTCCAGCCATAGCCAGTTGACTTAGTCATGGCCTACCGGGCACATGTACATGTAGCGGTACATACATGTGACACATGTACACATGTACATGCACGTACTGCACATCTAGGTCACAATGACATACATGTATTCTGACACCGACCGGCTATGGAGGAATCATTTTACGTTTAATGACCTGGTGGCATTCCCAAATAATAAACGCATCACTCCTGTGTCTAGTCAATTCAAATGTCAATTCAAATGAAAAACTCCAAGACCCATGAAAAACTCCAAGACCCAAGCTGCACAAACGTGTGATGTGAAATAATATGCAGAGTACAAAAGGAAGAGAAGCCAGGAATGGGTCACAATTTCACCATCATACATACACCTGTATGATGAACATGTTTGTCCCTTTTTTAATGTTCAGAACTCAGGAAAATTGAACAGTTTTCTCAATTATTTACCGTTAAGTGTAATCAAATCTGTTTACCATGAAACTAACCACTCTACATTTACAGGTGCATGTACACATGTACATGTACATATCTGAAAAGTAATGTTACACATGCACCCCGTGTCAACATACGGTACGGTATACCAGCATATACCTATACATGTACAAGTATACCGTGTATGTACATGCATACAGTAAATATTTTTCATGAGCAACACTTCACTACCCTGGGGGTCTATTGTTTCCACTTTTTCTGATTTTTTTTATGTTCTTGATGCTTTTTTACAATTTATTTACGATGTAATTAATTCAGTTCTGTTACAAACATGGTTTTATGACAATACATGTAAATCATTTCAACGCTTGTTTCCTTTTTATTTGAACCAAAATTTTTATAGTTGCAAATCAAGAAAACATAAACATCAAACCAACACTCACGTGTGAGTGTGATCCATGATTATGGTCTGACATGTTGGGTGATTTCCTGCACAAATTCAATGGGCACACATGCTACAAATGTACATGCACCAAGCAACGTTTCCACGATGACCAAAATCTCATGGCATAAACCAGCACACTGCTTATAAGCACCACGTAAAGAAGATCACAACTGATTGGCTCTCCTCACTGAAAATTTTAACAGACCAATAAAACACGGACCAGATTGTACCATCTACAGCAAAACTGGTTCTTGCTGCATGCGACTCTATGGCTCTACTCCATGCAGTGAGCTAGTAGCTAACAGTACCTTGGAGTTTTGCCAAGGTACTGTTAGCTACTAGCTCACTACATGGAGTAGAGCCATACAGTCGTATGCAACATACAGTACGTGTGACATACATGTACATGTACGCACAAGTATGCAAGAACAGTATGCAAGTAATCAGTGCAATCATCGTGCATATTAAAATTTGTGGTGTAATAAATGTGAAATCATACATTATTACAAACGAATCGCACAGTCCTTTTTTGGTAATTTTATCCACTGTTTTTGTCATATCTTCATTACTTGTAGAGTGCCCTTAGACGAGAGTGATTTTTACACTCCTTTTTAGGACTGCTGATGTGTGTGGTACACCCACCTTCCTTACGTGCTCCTCAAAATGATGCACTGCTGTGGATTCAACTGAGCACTTCATGCACTCATTTCAAATACAAAATAGGAATAAGTGCATGCACAGCATGTTTATAATAAAGAAAAGTACAGCATGTTTATGGTACCGGTATGTGCAAACTGCGTTACAAATAATGTACATGTACAATGTGTGATATTTTCTCTGGTACATGTCAATGTCCTGGCCTTGTACCGGTACACAGGCCTCGAATTTCCCCTTGGCCGTCGGTGCCCTCCCATTTGGCCGTGGTGCCTCCGAAAAGTGATCATGTTTCACCGCCAAGATGGCAGTGCCCCTTTTTTCTCTTGGCCGTAGTGCCCTTCACATGCATATCAACTGCCCCTGTTTAGCGAGGTACACGGAAAGCGGCATGGAAAGCAGCATACACATCATTCCTTGATTGCTCACATTCGACCGGAACACCGTGCCGCGCCACCTAAATACTTGGCATGCACGTATAAAGCAGGGCGTGCGTGCACTGTGTGTATGTGGGAATATCGTACACTCAGCCCGCCATGCACCGGTCCATGAACACTGCACGATCGCAAGCTTAGCACGGCACAGGCGACACCCTCCGGCCTATCCAATGACTTAACATAACAGCGTATGCCCAAGCCAAGTGTTTCAATGTACCATGCAATAATGTCAGTCTAGAACAAGTGCTCATCAATGTGTACGCATTATCGATATATTGAGAGCTCCACGTTTTTCATGCACATGGGACAATTGTATGGTCGGGCAATATTTTAGCTAACACGGCAATGTTGTGTTTGCAGTTTAGTGCTTCCCGCAGCGCTTCATCCGAATTGTACATACACGGCATCGGTACCGTTGATTGGAACTACCCTGATTAATTCTCACGTACGTTGTGTGCAAAATCACTGGCCTGGCCAGTTTTTGTGGTACGCAAAATAGGAAAGAACGGCTGCAGTCAAAACAGGCCGAAGCCTTTCAGCACTTATCACAGACATGTTCAGGTATAATGCGTATCCTACTTTTCTTAGACCTCAATCATTTTCATGCAACATAAAAAAAAATTGGGATGGCATTAATGCCCATAACTTTGGTACGTTGATGGCATTAATGCCCTCACGTTTGGCATTTCTGCCCTTCATTTCAGCCAGTCCACCAATGCCAAATGGCAGTGCCCTGAAAAAAATGAAATTCAAGGCCTGGGTACAGCCTTCTGAGATTCTGTTCCCATCAAGTAATTAAGAATGCTGTGCAAGACTTCGTGCAGACAAATTGTAATCTGAATTCAAAAGAAACCATTTGCAAGTCTCTTTATCCACTAATACATGTAGCTGGTGGCTGGGCAGGTGCCAAAACCATTCTGGGCTGGCCTTGACATTTTGCGACTACGCTTACATACATGTACATGTATATGGTTCCCAAACATTACCTGGTCTTCTGTTCAATACAACAGCCTGAAAAATGAATTAGCATGCAAACAAAGCTGGATTTGGTATAAACTGGTGCCTGGGCTCAAAATGTAGGGGGTGGAGATGGCAATGGTAGCAACATTAGTGACTGATGATGGTAACAGTGTCAACCTATTGACAATGAAGGAATTGGTGGAGAAGGGAAAGATAATGGACAAGATGGCAGACTGTGGTGTTGATGACAACTGTAATGACGGCAATGACAATGGTGATCAATTTGAATTTGAATGTTGTCAGCATGAAGGTCATTCTACCTACACTTCACCACAGATGTTGACTCAAAATAAGTTTTAGAGTTTTCCATAAAAAATAGGTTTTAGTAAACCTGCCACAAAAGCACGATTGACTATTCCATGACATCCATGGTCCAAGTCTTGAAGAGTACAATACGACCAGTCACTAACACTGTTGAAACCAAGTTCATATCTTTTATCAGTTTTAATATAAGGCACTTCTGGTTCAAGAAGGGTCAGGTATTTCACATGTACCGGTACGTGTACATGAGAAAAAGTTAAGACTTAACTTTACTCTATCACTTGCCTTATAAAGCAAGTTGAACTTGATGTTCATTTTATCTTTGACACCCAGTGATGTCATATCAACGGTCAAAGCATACAGTATTTTTGTCCAAAGGTCCTTATTTAATGTCAGTTGATTGCGATTGAAGATTTAAAACTGGCCGAATTGCCACTGAGAATAATCATGTACACGTACAAAGTCAAGATAGGATTTAGGGAAGAAAAATAAAATAAAAAAAAAATCTTGACAATAGCCATGGCTTTCTCGCAGCTTGCTGGAAAAACCAATGATGATATAACATACCATGTACATGTACCTGGAGCCAACTTTTAGATGAGGGCACATTATTAGTAGGAATGTGTGACAGTTTGCTCTGGGCTATTATCCCCAGGTTCTCAGTGGCTCTGCACAGTATCAATGTTACATTTCTGTCTACATGTACATGTACAGCACCATAGTCCAACTCTTACACTGTAGTAAAGAAAACACTGCCAGGCAAATGTTTCATACATGTACTTCAACCACAAATATTCCTGATCAAAGATCGTATAGCAAACTTCACCGTGAATACACGTAAAATGTTGTCATCGCAAGGACGCCACTTGAGCAAGCGATACGCCTGCGCAATGCACATTAATGCAAAGGCGCTGGCGCCGCAGCAGGCACGTGCACCTAGTGCGCCTGCGCTGTAGCATCACTGTAAACTGCGCAGGCGTATCACTTGCTCAAATGGCGCCCATGGTAATTACACCTTTTGGGCAGAGTTATCCATCTTGCGCCTTCCGCGCTATACAATCTTTGTTCCTGATGCAGGTTTGTGAAAGTTTGAAGGATCATAGCAACCATTAGACACGTACACGTACCAGTGCGTGTACAGGTACTGGTACTTGGGCAGAACTGTGTACGTGTAGTATGTTCATTTCTTCATTTGTTTACTTCCGCCATGTTTTCTATTTTCTTTGACTTGAATTTTAGGCCAGGTTCATTACCCAACAGGCTTAAAATGCATGCATACATGTACATGTACGTATACATACAAGGACTTGTGCTGAAAATCACAATTCGAAAGTAGCATAGAGGACAAATGAGTTAACGCGTCCACAGCAAAAATTCTGTATCACTGGGAT